TTTTTATCAAAAAAAAATCGCTTGATTCGATTTTTACCGTCAACACTCTCTTTGGTAGCCCCATAAAGTAATTTTGTATCCAAAATTGGTTAAAACTGGAAGTGATCCCTTCTACTCTCCAAATAAATGGTCATCAAATATATAATATATCATTTGATATGCTAAATTGAATAAAATTAAGAAAGAAACACGAGTGATATGATTGATTATTATCCCATTCGTTTATATTTAGTTTAACATATCAAACATACCTAAGCATTGCTCGACCTTTGACAACAAAAAAGGAAGGTAGACCCAACTTGATTTTACGGTCTTCATGTATTGCCTTCCTAATTGGGAGCTGAGTTGGTGGAAACTGCTGAATAAATTCAATGCAATTTATTGCATGAATTGCAGGTAAAATATTTATAATTTGATTAGTGGTATTAAATAATTTTAGTAAAAGTTAGTTGAAGGTGATGTTTTAATTTAGTTGCACAATTAGGTCTGGGTAATATATCAACGAGTATTGTGTTGTAACATACATGTGTACAACGTTATTTTGACAAAAAAACAAAATAGAGTAGCGATTAATTAAGTTTACAACTACATAAATAGTTTGCGCATCTTTTGATGCATTTCATATGTTACAATTCAGGTAACATTTAAATAGAAAGACTTTCAATCTACGTAATATTAATGTCTAACGAATAGACAGACGATATAGTTCAAATTTTATCTCCAATAAGCTTCGTCTATAATTCATATTTAATTTCTAAAATATATTTTATGGGAGAGAGAAAAAATATGGTAACTAACTTTGTCTACATGAGCAACAATGTTTCGTTTTTTTCTCGCCATGTTGGCTAGAAATTGTTCGACACACGTTAAATCGTAGAAAAACTTTTAACGATATTATCTGTTTTAACTTATGTGATAACATTTTAAGTGCAATTCACATTAGCATTGTAGATGTTTTTGTCGGTATAACAAAAGAAATTCTTAGAAATAAATAATAAAATTGAGTTTATAAACAATATATTATATAGTTTTATAAATGATCGTACTCAAATTTTTATATTTGATTTAGTTGAATATGTGAATAACTCAATTAAAGGTCATGCCAAGTTCAAATTTCTAAATTTTTATTTAATTTTTGTCTAACTTGCTTGGTAATATTTTGATATATTTATAAAGCTTTCCATTTTCATGAAAGGGAAAAGAAATTTTATATTAATTTAAAAATGGTACTTTGTACTCACCTCTGGAACTGGAAGAAATCAAATCCTAGATGGTAATTCCAACACCCTGCTATGGACCTCTCTATAGCCAACCAAAGACTACTCAAAAAGAACGTTGCTGTGCCCTCACGGACATGTCGCAGTGGTAAAGTAAGAGATTTCTCTACGGATGATTGAAAGTTCGAATTTTCGCAGCAATTGAAAGGCAATATTTAAATGTTGGAAGGCAACATCTATGTTGGAAGACAGAGGTTCACAGGAAGGAGAACCGTCGAATGTTCGGCCCAAGTGTGTATAAGTTATGATCGCATCCAAATTAATTTGGGTGGTGAACCTGTGGGAAAGCCGTCACTCGTCGGGAGAAGTTTGGACACCCGAGTCATCAAAAAAAAAAAAAAAAAAAAAAAGTTGTTGTTTTTTTAAATTTATTTTTAATTATATATTNAAAAAAAAAAAAAGAACGTTGTTGTTTTTTTAAATTCATTTTCAATTATATATTTCATGCGATTAGCAATTTCTATAATTTTTTAACAACACACTTCATTAATTTTTATTAAAATCTACTAAAAAACAGGGACTTACTATCTTTTATAACTTAATTAATATCCTTAACATTGTGCATGCTTGCATTATCAAGTATATTACACATCAAAATTTACCAGAAAATGATGATTAATGATCAAATTTTCAACAACAAAGTATTTTTTGTTGTTACGAATGACTTTCCATAACAAAATCATAATTTCATTGTTGTCTCAAATTGACGACTCAAAAATTAAGCCAAATGCTATGATAAAATTGTATTTACTAAAATGAAAATGAATAAAAGGCAACCCATCAAATCGTATTTAACATTCAAAAAACTGGCAAATAAAATGTTTCACGTGCCTGTGTTGAAAAATCTATCAAAGAAACCAAGGCGTATTATATATTTTGAGATAATTCATTTTGCACCTAACATATGGGCTATTAATGTCCATTTATCAGGACAAAATTCCCAACTGTAATTATTTAATTCAAATTTGTACAACATGATCATTCATATTAAGCCCCTGTCTGGGCTCAATTATTTCAATTTATAACGAGGGAAATAGTTTTTTTTTTGGATAATTTGTGATTTAAGAAAAAAAAAAAGAAAAGCTTTTAGATTTACGTAGAATATTATTTTATTAAAAAATATGTTATTTATAAGAAGGGCTAAGTGTCATTTGTTAGTTGGATTATGCCGAGTGTATATGGCAGCTTTTTCACAGGAGCCACTGTAGCGACGGGCCCCACCCCATTGTATTAAAAAAATAAATGTGCCCCCCCATGTGTGTAACCTGTTCACAGGCCCCTGTACTTATAGCATAATCCTTATTAGTTACCAGCATCCATAAGGTCGTATGTGGACCTCTTTATGTTATGTACATTCTAATTTAGTATAAAGAGAACGTACTAGGTTCAAAATCACTAATACATTTCGTACTAAAGCAATGGATTCACGTGAACATATTACTATGCACTTTTTGTTGAGTTGTGTGTTTACATAGTATAGTTTTGTTGATACAAAAATAACAATATTTTTATACTAAATAAAATTATTTTTTCATTTATTTTATTTATTTAATTATTGAGCATGCAAATTAAAGTGTATATGATCACTTGTGATAATATAAATTGGGTACTTGCGTTGAGAAGTACAGACGTACAGTGTGACTCAACTTATGTTTTGATCATAAAATTTATGTTATTGAATTTGTGTGAATGGAAAGTCAGTATATATACAACGAAAGGTTCATTGTAGCTAACAAATCATCTTCACTAGAAATTAGATGTCTCCATACTGACTAGATATCCGGATAAAGTAACTAATAAGATTGTAAGAATCACATTTTTAGAGCCCGTTTGACAACCATTATTGTAGAAGAAAAGAGTTTTGAATAGTAATTTTTAGAAAAATGTCTGGTTTAAAAAGTATGGAAATTTTTTGGTATACGTGTAGAATATTTTGTTGTTAGAATGTGTGCTTGAAAATGATCTTGTCACAAACTATAAAATAAAATAATGAATGTCAAAAAGACAGTTAATCACACATTCTCCATTTTTTAGCAAAAAATGGAGCTCAAACGGAAGCTTCTCCAACCCAAATTTCTGCAAACAATTTCCGAAAACAAACTCTTAAAGGTTTTTTTCTCCTTTTAATTTTACTATTATTATGTCATGAAGAATTATTCCATACCTACATAATGCAGTTCACAGAAAATTACCAGAAATCTCACATGGGAGGTGGGTCCCACAAGAATAAAATATTGCAAAAAATTGACCACCCCTTGCTGTTGTGAGCGTTCTGTACCGTTTCTTTTGCCTCCATTTCTATAAGTGTAGCTTTGCTCGTAAAAAAACAAAAACGTTGTTATTCTTGTCATTTCTGCATTTAGTGGGGGTATTTTAATAATGGTCCTACCAAGAAAGAAAAATAAAATGAGTACATGAATCTTACATGTTCTGTGGTTGTTAGAGCACAAAACAGATTTGGATCTTGAGACGCGTACAAAGTTTTTTAAAGTCAATATTGTCTCAACAAATTCTACTACTGAATTTAAGTTCTAATGCAATTTCAAGACTCGCGTTAAATGTTTTAAAAGAATTTATTAGTCTTCCGCCTTTACAAGTTTGACGTCACATCCGAGATGGACTTTAATTTGTTTAACCGTAATTGGCACGTAAAAGGAGGTCACGAAGGAGATGACGAATGAGAACTATTACTCTAAAGGAAAATGATAGTTGTACATCATGCCATACAGTATGGTGTACAGCCCCCTCACATGTGAGAGGTCCCATCATGAATAAAAAATTTGTGGGCCCCCTTTATGTGAGGGGAGTGTACACAAGTACGGTGTACATGTAGCATAGTTCTACTATGAATAATTAAAGAAAAATATTTTTTGTTTTAATAAAAGAAATAGCATGGATAACTTTTTCGATAATTTAATAATACTAAAAAACAAGATATTTTGCAAGAATCCTGGGAATGTGAGGATTAGAAAAATAGTTTGAAAACCACTTTTCATTCCTCAAAATTAGATAATTATCGAATCAAATTTTTTTTAAATATTACAACTGTTAACGACATAGACTCTAATTTTGGTAAAATAATTAGAGGTGAACACGATTTGATTTGGAAGATTTTTGAATTAATTTCAAAACTAACATATTTTAAACGGTTTGAAAAAATTCAAAAGCAAACCAAACAAAATCATTTTTTTTGCGGTATAATTTGATTTTAAACTACGGTTTGAACAATATAAAAATAAAATTTCTCAAAAATGTTAAAAACTAAATATATACACTATAACTCTTAAATTAAAACCTTCTAAATATAAACCTTCTAATTATGAACGGTTCAATTTTATTTCAGGCGAACCATTTCCAAACGGCTCGGTTCGATTCAATTTTGAAGCGATTAAAACTTAGTGTGGAACGAAACCCAGCGTTTCTAAATTACGGTTTGGTTCTTCCCTAATTTATAGAGCATATTGATTTCTGAATAAGTTTTAGAAAAGGTAAAATTACTTTTATAGAAAGTAAATTTTTTGATCTAAAAATTCTCAAGAATTTCAAATTTATTTAGTAAAATAATTACTTAAAAGATCACAGTCTAAACCTTTATTTTTTTTTTTGGGGTGGGAGGTCGGTCCATGTAAAGCCACTTTTGTGGGCTGGCCTATACTAAAGGAAATACTGCCCTAAATCCTTATAAATAACCGACTCCGCCATTTCTTTCGGCGAGGAGCGACCATGGCCATAGGTTTAACTCTGTGATTTTCACTCACATGACACATTTTTTGTTCAATCCCATCTTGAATTATCTGCATTTTTGTGTATAAAATTAAATTGTTTCTATATGTGATGTTTCAGGTTTGAGTCATTCCTACTCATCACCTTCTGCAGACAAAAATGGTGAAGATGAGCTAATGAAGAAGGTGAATTTTTCGCCATTGGGGAAAGGAAATGAGATCGTAAATGGCGATGAAATCGGGTTCGACCCGAGTGAACCTCCGCCGTTTAAGATTGGCGATATTCGAGCAGCAATTCCTGAGCATTGTTGGGTTAAAGATCCATGGAGGTCTTGCTCTTATGTTGTTCGGGATATTGCCGTGGCTCTTGGTTTGGTGGCCATTGCTTTGCATTTCAATAGTTGGATTTTTTGGCCGGGGTATTGGTTTGCCCAGGGAACAATTTTCTGGGCTATTTTTGTTCTTGGACATGATTGGTAATCACTGTTTCCTTTTTGTATATTTACTAGCTTTCTATATCTGATACAAAAACAAAATGTCCATTAACATGAATGAGATTTGATTACTTGGATTCGTCAGACTGCCTGATTTGACAAAATTTCATGTTGCTGTCAACCTACCACAACCCTATTCCCTTACCCATGCTCAACAGTGGTTATGAAAAACACATAGGATTCCTGTTAATAGGATTTGGTGTAGTTTTACTTTCACTGTCAACATAAGTAACCTTTCTCTTTTAGCCGAGTTGGGGACCGGCTATGAAAAGAACAGAGTTGTCTATATGACCGATGCAATGATTTGTCTTTGTTGATTACAGCGGCCACGGGAGCTTCTCCGACAATCCCAATCTCAATAATATCGTGGGACATATCTTGCATTCTTCCATTCTTGTACCGTACCATGGATGGTTAGTCTTGAAAATCTCTCCATGTAATGACTCAGATCCATGATGTAAAGTTGTAGAAAACAGAAGTTCTTATTTATGTTAAACATTATAGGAGAATCAGCCACAGGACTCACCATCAAAATCATGGACATGTTGAAAACGATGAATCATGGGTACCGGTAATGTTTTTCATTGATACTTGTGCTTTTCTTGATTCAGTTTTTCGATTTCTTTTTCTGCAATTTTTGTTTGTTTTTCTTTTTAGTTTTAAGAATCTGTGGGTAATTTGGGGTTACGATTTCTCCACTGGATAGTCTAATTTGTGTCCTTGTCATTTCTTTCTCCAGTTGCCTGAGAAGATATACAAGAAACTGGATTTGTCGACCAAATTCCTGAGATACAAAGTCCCTTTTCCCCTGTTTGCATATCCCCTTTATCTGGTAAGGTTGCATGTGAGATTATTACAGTTAAAAAGAAATTTACGTGTACTTTTTTGATATGTTCGTTAGATTGGATTGGATTTGAATGGAATGGACAACATGGGACAAGATTATAGTGTGTCCTATCCAAATACTTAACGACATTGGATATTACCATATGTAGAATGGATTGGACAATACCTCACTTGATTAAGAGAGTGCTGCTTACTAAACATTCTTTTTGTTGGTTTTGTATTTCAGTGGTCTAGGAGTCCAGGGAAGAAGGGTTCACACTTCAATCCTTACAGTGATTTGTTCAAAAGCAGTGAGAGGAAACTTGCACTCACATCAACAATCTGCTGGGCTGCAATGGTTGCTTTTCTCTTTTGCTTATCCATCATATTTGGACCACTCCTATTGCTAAAGCTCTACGGGGTTCCCTATGTGGTCAGTTCAATTACAGGTTCCCAGTGATTTCCAGATTTCTAATATTCGATTTAGTAACTGTACTTACATTTGCACACAGATATTCGTCATTTGGTTGGACTTAGTCACTTACTTGCACCATCATGGTCATGAGAAAAAGCTTCCTTGGTACCGTGGCAAGGTTTAGCAATCTTAACTCTAGTATTCATTCACTGCATGTTTGGTTGGTATGAAAGTACAAGATTGGACAATATTAACAATCAAGGAAGAAAAAGAAGTTTAAATCTTGTTTATTATAGTGTTTAGTACTGGGAACTAAACATGCCTTCATGGTATGTGTTTAGTGCATCGGATTGGCCAAGACTAAAGAAGGAAGATGAGTAATATATTTTTATCTTTAATCTTGTTAAGCCCAATCCAAGGTGTAAACATGCTTTCTAGATTTGTGCAAGTGCCAAGAGATTCTTATCTATCTGAACAAGGACATTTTCATTATTTTTTCCTGTCTTGACATTGAACAGGAGTGGAGTTACTTAAGGGGAGGCCTAACCACTGTGGATCGTGATTATGGATGGTTTAACAAAATCCACCATGATATTGGCACCCATGTTATACACCATCTCTTTCCTCAGATCCCGCATTATCACTTAGAAGAGGCGGTAATACCTCAATTGCTCAAAACTACATTTACCTGTTTGTTAAATAATATTGTGGACATAGTTAATAACGAGGAAGAAGCTAAAATCTTATCTACTATACTTTTCGGCTCATGTCCACTTTTATGTGCTCTCATGTTCATATGTTTGTTATATCAATTTGATAATAGTGATTGTTAAAGACGGTAATATCGCGAACTACATTGGCATGTTTATGAAGTAAGATCCCACAAAACTTGATTATGTTAAGCGCTTGTTTGATTTAAAGTAAAGTAAGATTTTTAGCATATTATGATATTTCGAATTTGGGGAAATCTAATTAAATTTATGAAATGGGCGATCCTAATAAATTCCTTGACAGCTTCGACTATCAAAATTCATGCTTTTCAATTTTGCCCTGGACTTAGAGGGGTGATTTACTATTTTACCCGAGTGCTTTTGAGATTACAATTCAAAGGGTTTCTCCATAGATCTTTATGGTTGGGAGTAGTTTGAAGAATCATACAACAATTTGTTGATGAAATAGAAGTGAGAATTCGACATTGTTATTATTTCTTTCCCAAACAAACGTAGGTTATGCTTCAGTGGGCGCACTAATTTGAACCAAAAAATCACTTTTCCTCTAATAATCGTCAAACAGGCTCTAAAGACAAAAAGAAACGAAAATCTTGTATATTACAATGTTAAATCTTGTCTACTACTCCACATGCTTGCTTGTATATCTCTTGTATCAGATTGATAATAGCACTGTTTCGTTTGTTTTGCATACAGACAAGGGCAGCTAAACCAGTCATGGGTATGTATTACAGAGAGCCCATAAAATCAGGACCAGTTCCTTATCATTTGCTCCAAAATTTGGTAAGAAGCATTAACGAAGACCATTTTGTTAGTGATAGTGGAGAAATAGTGTATTATCAGAAGGATTCACAACTCTCTTAGAGATTTTCTTCCACGAAGAAGAGTGACTACTGATTCTTCCAGACACTTAAGAATTATCAGAAATAGTTTTTGTCACTGTATTTTTCTTGTTTGGGCAGCCTCTCATGAATAGGTTGTGGTGTCTGTCATCTTGATATGCTATTTCTATTGCAATCAGATTATATAATAATTTGTCGTCGATTTTTATGTCAGTTGGAAATTCTATATTATGATAATATAATTGGGAAACTTGCAACAGCTGTCCCTAACCTTTTACTTTTTTTTTTTAAACTTTACCCTTACCTTCATTTTGTACAATCACAGTCTCAAACCTTTCAAAAATATGCAATTAGGGTTCAAATGAATGAAATTTGACCGTTAGTTGACCAGAAAAGTCAAAATTTAATCAATTTTGATCAAATTAAAAAGGGTAAAATAGTATATTTACATTTTTCCAAATATTAACAATTAGAACAATTAAACTAAAAAAATAAATAAAGAAAAGAAATCTGCCCCACCCACACCCACACCCATCATCATCTTCTTCTCCTCCTTCATGTTCATCTTCTCCTCCACCTACAGTCGCGAACCCCATATGCATCTTCTTCTTCAAACAATTGTACATCTAGCAACTAATGGACCTGTGGCAAACGTTGTTGGATCGTGGATATAGAACATGGGTATTGTGCAGATCAAAGACGAAATTAGGCAATTGAAGGATGAAATCATCGGTCATTACAGTCAAACATGAGCTCCAAATTAGGCAATTTCCCAAGCGTGGTTGAAAGGTAGGGAAATGGCGGTGGATTTAGACTTAGATTTGGATTTGGACGGTGGTTGAAAGATAGGAAAATGGCGATGGATTTGGTTAGTGTTTGTAGCAGGGGAATGGTGGTGGTTTTGGGCAGTGGTTGAAGGCAAGGAAATTATGGTGGATTTGGGTGGTAGTTTTGAGTAGGGGAATGGTGGTGGATTTGGACTGTGGTTTTGGGTAGGAAAATGTTGGTGGATTTGGGAGGTAGTTTTGAGCGGTGGCTGAAGGCTACGGAATGGTGGTGGTGCCGACTGCTATGGGAAGAAGATGAAGTTTGCGTTGGGTTGAGGTGGAGGTGGGGTAGGGCGAAGGGGTTTGATTTATTTTTATTTTTTGGTTTTTTTAATTTAATTTTTAAACTTATTTAATGTAAGGAAAATGCAAAGTACTATTTTGCCCTTTCTAATTTCGTCAGAATTGATTAAATTTTGACTTTTTTGATCAATTAATAGTCCAATTTCATCCATTTGGATCTCAAGTGCATATTTTTGAAAGGTTTGAGACTGTAAGTGGCACAAAGTGGAGATCATGATAAAATTTGCAAAAAAGTGAAAGATTGGGGATCACTGCTGCAATTTTTCCTAATATAATTAGGTGTTCTTTATTGTCTCAAACTAAATTGTATTTGTAAATCGTAGATAATAGTATGTTGGAAATTGCACCATCTTATCTGAATTTATTAGAAAAAACGAAAACTACTTTGAAAATAAGATGGGTTATAGCTCGAAAATCATATCATAAAAAATGATAAGATATTATTGAACTTTGTGATTCTTGATAAGAATCGGATTGAGTGGAAGTAGAGCTGCACAAAAATATCGTGAAATTGCAAATCGAACCGAACCGAACCGAACCGAAATCATTAGTTTGAAACTTTGGTTCGGGTCCACATGGACTCGCTGTTTTCTTTCCTCAAATCGAACCAAACCGTTTCAAAATTGTTTTGTTTAAGTTTCAATTTTCAAAAATCGCATAAAATCGAATCGAATCGCAGTTTAAATTTTTAATTAAAAATTAATTTTATTAACTTACAAATTTTAAAGTTTTCATTTTTTTAGCAAAAAATATCGATTTAGCAATACAAATTACAACCAACCCATTGAGATAATCATATAAAGTAAAGTAAGTTCTTCATTATTGGTCGATTGTTTTGTAAGTCCACAACACACGTCCTAATCTGATATCTAAACTAAACTAAAATTAATAACAAATCATATGAAATTGAAAAAAAAATTATTTTCAACAATCCAAATCACAATTCAACAAAATTACAAAAAAAAATCAAGCCCACAATTTCAAAAGCCCTAACCTAAACTCTCATTTCTTAAACATTTAACACTTGTCCGCCACTGTTGAGCAAAATGCGATTCCCAATCGCAAATAACTAGTCGTCTTTTACTTGTTAGTCTGCTAATTTCTACCTGAATCACCTATTTCTCTCTTGACAAGTCTTAGATTCCTATTCAAGTCATTTTTTTCATTGTTCTTTCTTTCATTTGTTCTTTTTGAACTTTTTATACACTTGAGAGTTATGATTTAAATTAATAAAAAAAAAAAAGAATGTTTATGTACATAGGTGATTAATGAACTTGTTTGTGGTTTATAAAGAATGAAGGATAGAGTGTATTGATTGCGTGAAAATGTTATAGTACTACTACATTCTACTTTCTCAAAGTTGTTAGAGAATAAAATTTGTCAATTTTCAATAAACTTAAACTCTATCATTCTTTGTATATTTAAACATATCATGTTTAGTCTTTATTTTTCATCTCATTAGTAGGATAAAATTTTTTTTTAACCAAACTATTACAGTAGAATGTGACTTTATTTTTACCAATCGCTATATGACAATATGAAAAAAAAAAAAAAAAAAAATTTCATTCTATTAATATCTTTTTGCAACCAACTTTGAAAATAATTTATTCACAGGTGGGAAAGATGAATGTAATTTAACATTTAATATTATTAGTTCTCGTTTAAACTTATATGTTAACTTATTTTAAATATATTATTATAATGTCGATAGGTTATGATTTACTCTGGTTTGGTTCGAAAAATAAAATGATTTGGTTCTTCATTACTGGTCGATGGTTTTGTAAGTCTACAACACACGTCCTGATCTGATATCTAAACTAAACTAAAATTAATACCAAATCATATGAAATAAAAAAAAAAAAAATTATTTTCAACAATTCAAATCACAATTCAACAAAATTACGACAACAAATCACGCCCACAATTTCAGAAGCCCTAACCTAAACTCTCATTTCTCAAACATTTGATACTTGTCTGCCACTGTTGAGCAAAATGGGATTCCCAACCACAAATCACTAGTCGTCTTTTACTTGTTAGTATGCTAATTTCTACCCGAATCACCTATTTCTCTCTTGACAAGTCTTAGATTCCTATTCAAGTCATTTTTTTTCATTGTTCTTTCTTTCATTTGTTTTTTTTTTTTTTGAACTTATTATACATTTGAGAGTTGTGATTTGGATTAAAAAAATGACTATTTGTGTGCATAGGTGATTGATAAACTTGTTTGTGGTTTAGAAAGAACGAATGATAGAGTGTATTGATTGTATGAAAATGTTAAAGTTTCCTAACTAATACTACTACATTCTACTTTCTCAAAGTTGTTAGAGAATAAAATTTGTCAATTTTCAATAAACTTAAACTCTATCATTCTTTGTATATTTAAACACATCATGTTTAGTCTTTATTTTTCATCTCACTAGTAGGATAAAATTTTTTTTAACCAAACTATTACAGTATAATGTGATTTTTTTTTTACCAACCGCTATATGAAAATATGAAAAAAAAACAAGAATAGGTAAATCAAAAGGAAGAAAGATATATTCGTTCTATTAATATTTTTTGGCAACCAACTTTGAAAATAATTTATTCACGAGTGGGAAAGATGAATGTAATTTAAAATTTAATATTATTAGTTCTCGTTTAAATTTATATGTTAACTTATTTTAAATATATTATTATAATGTCGATAGGTAAATCGCGGATTAAAATCAAACTAACCCACAATTTATGGTTTAGTTTGGTTTGGTTTGGTTCGAAAAATAAAATGATTTGGTTTGATTCAAAAAAATTCCAAACCGCATGAAATAGTTTGAATTGAAAATATGGCAAAAACCGTCCAAATCGAACCGCGTTCACCCCTAAGTGGATCTAGTCATAACTTGAAAAGGGTAATTAATAAAAAATGTCCTATCGTGTGTATTTATTGCATAAATCATCATTTTCGTTTTAAATTTTGACAATCATATCCTTGTTTCAACCTTTTTTTTTATGGAGTTGGTTCTTTTTATTTGATTCGGTCGATTCCTTTTGTTAAATATGGATAATTGGTTCAAAATATCCTTATCATTTGCTTTTATTGCGCAAAACAATGAATTATTGTTGAACTTTTATTCATAAGAACCGATCCAAGTGTTTTTTTGTTAGCTTGCCCATAAATAGATCCAATCAAACTCTTTGATCCTTAGTTTTTCAAATTTTTTGAATGGATGCTGGGGCGGGATTTAAAAAATCATGCTACATGTACAATATTCGACATTATCATATTCATCTATTTTAAAAAATTATTTTCGACATTATATACTAGGATTTTGACAAAACATGATTGTCAATCATTATTGTCAACTAATGTTGTACATTTAGCCCCTGTTTAGCCCCCATTAAATTAAATTACATAACATTAAATTTTTCTCTCTTTTTATTACAACTACACATTTATCAAATAAAATAATATTATACACAAATTTAAAACTTTTCATTATTTTTTCTCCACGCATTCTCCTATCAATCACTATTTCAAAAATTTTTAACTATAAAAAATGTCAAATAATGAGGGCCAAACATGGGCTTAAATTTATTCGATTTTAAAACATGGATTTTGTCCGAAGATTGTTATCATGTGGCTTTGGAATGTGTGTAAAGATTATGGGTCTGAATGACAGTTCAAAACAAATCCTGCCAAACAATCTGCAAGGGGCGGTAAATTTACGGACAAAATGTGACCACTGCAAATCTGCAACAGTTTATAATTTAAGAAAGCTGCAATTTTGTGCGGTTGTAAAAGTAATCACGTGACGTAAGTATTTTAAAAATCTTGGACGACAAATATCGAGCAGAACCAATGACTTCTGTAACTGGCTCCTCCGCCTTGGGATGGGTAATTTTTGAGGTGGGA